CCCCAAAACCCCAAAACCCCAAAACCCCAAAACCCCGATTTTAAGAAATTTAGTTGAAGATTAGCTATTTACTGAGTGTTAAGAGGTGGTTCTAGCTTTTTTTGCATTTTTGAGTATTTTTTTCTGGGCAAAGATCTTTTTCAAGCGATTTCCATTGTTTCTTATTCTCTCTCATTTGTTCATTATTTTGTTCAAATTCTGGTAACAGCTTGACTAAGATATTAAAGGCTGGCACTAGAAAGTTGTCGATAAATCCTATTTGGCCTGAAGCCACGTTCGTAGTATAACGATCCATCAGGAAGGAAATAGGAATCCCTTTCTCTCTTTCTTTATCTCCTTGGAAGAAGAACTCTGTACACAACAAGTCTGCCCATTGTTGTCATATCTTCCAAGGCTTGCTTGGATTACTAATATCTGCAATGTGGATGAGGTAGTTACAAATTTTAGCTTTATCTTCTCCACTTGGATCAAAGTCCTCACTATCTAATCTTGTCCTCAAGTGGGATATTTCCGAAAAATGAGTTGAGTTATCCGTTGCTAGAACTAAATCAATGATCTGAGACCTCATTGTATCAAATTCACCATTGCTAAGGTTCTCGTTGAATCGAGTTTTGGGAGATTTCATCATTGCTGAAAATGCAACAGAAATATGATGGTTTTCCAGAACGCTTTTGTCATTATATCTGATAGCAAGCTTATCTCTTGTTCTAATCATGTATAAATTGTTATACCCAGGATGATCGCTGTCATGGATGAAGCTTGCTAAGAGTATGGATCATTCTTCCATCGCAGATAGGTTCCCTTTTTCTCTAAATCCCAGGGTTTGAATAAAATAGTATCAAGATTGGCATACATCACTTGCATGAGTTTTATTGTGGTAAGGAACCGGATTGTACAGCTCCTGAATTACTACAGAATAGTATTGGAACTTTTCTTTGATAATTCCAATCTTCTCATAAAAGTTATTAGCTTCGAAAAGATAATTAATAATGGTAACTAGCTCGTTTTCTTTAGTGGCTTCTTTAAGTTGAAAGATGTCAAAATCAAAGTCTGATATCTTCTTGAGAAGACTATCTACAACCTCGTCTGTAAGGTCTTCTTTGTATTGATTAATTTTTAATTGAACTTGATTATCTTGTTCAAGATTTTCTTCCTCCTCAAGGATTTCATAGTGACGGTATCCATACTCGCTATCTTCTTCTGTGAGTCGAGGCCTCTTGGAATTTTGAGCTTCCTGAAAAGATGAGAGACCATATGCATAGTATAATCCTTCAGTAATTACTTCAATATTTCTTTTGTTGAGAAATTCTCTGTTGGTTTTTGCTAAATAATTGATAATTTCACTAATCATATCAGTTACTGTTTCCTTTCTGCTAAGTCCTTTATCCCTTGAATTAAGAATTATTCCAGCTTTGTGCAAAAAATTAGAGGCATTCCTTTGAATCATTATGATTTTTAGAACTCTTGAGATGTTGAGGAAGTCATGATTTATGGCTTCTTGGTATCCTGGAATTTGATATTTTATTTGTATTTCGTAAAAATTAGTGGAGATTGCTAAGATCAGCAGCAAAATATCGATAATAATCCCTAAGCTTCTTCAGACCAGCATAAGAGTTATTAAATACATAAGTAAGCAAGCTCATAGAGCGTACATCATCGGCGCTATCAATCTCACTGATTCTTCTTCTTTAATTTCCATAATAGAGTAGAAATAAGACAAAGCTAACGCACAATACGCCAATTCAAACACTCAATGCACCATTCTCAACCCCTTTGCATCACCTATACCCATCTCAATCTCCAAATTTACCTCAAACTCCTCCTTCCTTCTTCCCATCCTCATCTTCTCCATTCCTCTTCTCCTTCACACCTAAACCCCTAAACCTCTCTTGCTTACCTCTCTTCATCCCAAATTCTTTCTGTTCCTGCTCAGCCTGGCTCCTTCCCCTCCTTAACCCCTCATCATTCATCCCAATTACACCTTTTTCTTCCTTAAGCTGGCCTATTTCTTTTGGCAAACTATCAGTCTTCTCTACTGTTGACTCCATGTGTTAATAATTTATCAATTTTATTTCAAAATTCGCCTGAAGATAGGGGTTTTGGGGTTTTGGGGTTTTGGGGTTTTGGGGTTTTGGGG